AAATAAAATTTTATTGATATATGAAAACTAAAAATATTGTAGTATCAACTTAAATGAGATAATATATCATAAGTATTACCCTTATAAGATGTGTAAATTTAAAATTAAATAATTTAATACTTACATAAATATTATAACTAAACTCAAATTGAAAATTTAACAGTTAAATCATATTCTAGTATAATTTATCTAAACAATAAATAAATTAGTTGGGATAAAAAAATTTAGCTAAGGATCTAACCTATAACTATGTTTTCAATAACTACAATAAACACGATAATTGATTTGAGTCAAACAAATATTATGTTAAAGTTGCCTTCTTTTTCAGACAAAAATGAATCTCCATAAAAAGTATTAAGAAAGTTAGGGTAAAAATTCTTTAAAAAAAAAGAAGAAAAAAGAGAAATCTCCCCAAGAAATGAAAAAACCCTTATAATAAAAGAAAAAACTTCTACCTTTAACCATTGAACTTAACTATTGAAAAGTGAATAAAGTTATCAGTTAACGGTTAATATTTCATAATTGATAATTATTATTGTTTATAATTTAAATTTAATTCACTCTATTAAAGCAGACAACTAATAGTTATTTTAGAAATAGTAGTATAAATCTCCTCTGAAGCAGTGACATAAGATGACTACTTTACATTGGTTTCATCATAAGTGTCTTCATTTTCTTTACCCACCTTCCTAGCGTGGAAAGGATTTTCTCCTTCTACAGGTTAGGTTTCTCTAATTGAAATTTAAGGTGAAGTCTCTTTAAATTAAGTTATTTGTTTAATTGAAGTTTGTTTTAACCTTACTTAGACCATGCTTAATTGACAAAGAAGCTATCATCCAAACAAATAAAAAAAAAAAATGACAAAGAAGCAACCTCAACCCTTGTAAGAGTTTTTAACCAGTTGCTTAATTAGGAGGTAACACTAACCAGTAAAAAAATGACACATAAACAAATTTGAATACATTCCCTTCATAAAAAAAGCATATATATATATATATATATTTCCTAGTTTGTCATCATATAAAAAATATCCATAGTATAGCTTATTCAAATGCCTAAAATAACTAAATAGCTAAGTTTCTGTAGACTGAAAATACACAAGATATAGGGTGCTAATGGAATACTGAGCTTTTAAAACTTCCTAGTTTTTAAATTGAAAACCTTTAAGTTAAGAACTTGGGATGCCTAAAGACGTAATTGACTTTTTCCAAGTGATAATACTACGCATTTTTATTGGTAAATTTAATAAATATTAATTAGTAATAAACAATTGAAACTAAAAGATTCTAGATCTTCTTTTTTGTGTTTTTTTTAGATATTAGAACAAAATTGGCGGTCAAACAAAAGACTAAGATTCATAATCAACATTTTCAAAAAAGATTCATAATCAACAACGTCAGAAGTGATGAAGAATGTTTTACTCTTATTCATGTGAAATTATTATTTGATGATTTTTTTTTATCTTAATCGCACAATAAAAGATTATTATCTCATATCTTTTATCTCACCCTATCCACGTACTATGTAACTTGAATTAAAAATCTCTTATTTCTAACAGAAAGAGATAATTACTGAGTTATTTAAGTCATTGACTATTATTTAGTTATTGATCATTAATTTTTTTTATAATTTAAATGATAAAATATAAATTATTGAATAAAAACTAATTTTTAATATTAAAGGGTTTGTCCTATTTAAAAGTTTAAATTATATAATTCGGTTGGTTTGTTTGTGATTGACATTTAGCCAATTGTACAAGATATTAAGAACCGAATCATACCAACAACAAGAGTTATACTCAAAGGAAAAAAAAGAAAAAGAAAAATTATTTCATGTGATTTTCAATGAAACTGACATCCCAGAATAATATCCCCACCCACTACTAATAGCCGCATGAAATTTTTAGTCTTCAGACACGTAATAAGCCCAGCCCAACCTAAACAAGACATTAGAACTCCATTGTCGAGCCCATGGGCTTCTCAGCCCCCTTCTAGTTTCATGGAGCTTAGTTAATCATTAGATTTGTTGTTTTGTACTTTAGACTATATTAAATTGTAAATAAAAATTATTGGGTCGGGGGTAACTTTGATATCAAAGTGCTCACCTCCATCTTATATGTTAAGTTATACAATCTAAATTATATGCCAATGATCTAAGTAATTCAATAGTAATCTTCTTCCTTTAAAAGTAAAAGATTTTGAATTCGGGTCGTATGGCATGCAGGTAAGGTGAAATAAGGGATGAGATATGGTTGTTTCCCGTTGTACAACCAACATAAAAAAAAAAAATACAATCTAAATTGCATAACACATTTTTTGTAATAATTAATCATCATTAATTGACCTTTAAGTCAGGTTTTAAACTTACTGGACATTCTTCCTTCCATATACCTCCTCAGATCCAAGGACTACTAACCCAACCCAAACCCTTTACTACTTTATGGAGCCCAACTCCACTTGATCTTTTTGGATAACAAGGCCACAATAGCGAACTCGGCCCGTGTTTGATGTCTCAACTCTCCTGACTCAATCGTTGGCAACTTGATCGTTGATATTGATACCCAACGAAACGTTACGCAGAATTGTATCCTTGTAGGCTGTAAGACTGGTAATCTGTCATGTATCTGACACTATCTCCGCCGGATCCACAGAGAGTTAGCCCTGATTACGAATACTAACAGCGAGTGGTCAGAGACAATACGGAGCCTGATCAGCACGAGTCTGCAGACAATTTCGACGTCGCCCATTTCCTCCTCTATGTCGACGTCTTCCACCTCGTCATCAGTGGTTTCCCCGGCTATGAGCTGCTCCAAGCAGACAGTAATGGAGGCTGCATCGGCAATTTCAGTGGGGAAAATGGACGTCTTTAACGAGATCTCCACGCATCTGGCTGAAGCCTAGAACCCAAAAGGTAATTCAGAGCAGGGACTGATGGAGTACATGACATTGGCCCTGAAATCGCGTGTTAACGTTACAGGATTGACAACAAGACAGCTAACGTGGCAAGAAAATGTGCTTATGTGGAAGATTGATGATGTATGTGAATGATGATGTATGATGTATGATATATGATATATGTATATGGAGCTAGTTATAAAGCTCCAATTCTTGTAAAAGAATTAGTGAGTCAAGTGAATACAAGATTCTCTTTCTAAAGCTTTCTCTCTTCTCTTCTCATCCCCTTTCAATACCTTATTTCTCATCTCACCTCTCTTCTTAATTCTTTTCTCATCTTTATCTCTTTAATCCTGTGTTGATTATGGATTGGCTGTTATCATTTGGTATCAGAGTTTCAATTCCTCGACCCGTGGCCATGGTGAGTAACACTAGATTTCTAAAAACAGGGTATTGAAAGGGGATGAGAAGAGAAGAGTGAAAGCTGTAGAAAGGAAATATTGTATTCACTTTACTCACTATTTCTGTTACAAGAATTAGACCTTTATACCAATTAGGGATTGGATCAAGCGGTAAGCGGCTTGTTCTACTTGATGTATGTAGCAACTTTCGTTGAAAAGCTCACCACCATTACTAGGTGCGCGACGCGGATCAATTCGGATTAATCGGAAAGAAATCCCGGATACCGAAGGGAAACCTAAAAAAGAATTAGAGCTCCATAGCAGTCTCCATATACTTACATCATACATCATCATCCACATACATCATCAATCTTCCACGTAAGCACATCTTACTGCCACGTTAGCTGTCTTGTTGTCAATCCTGTAACAATTAATCTGTTGAGGGTTGCAAGGTTGTTCAGTAAGGAACACGGTGTGGCAACACAATCTCTCTTTGATCTGTCCTTTTGCTTCAAGCTTGGTTTCATGGCTGCCAATCTTGCGATTCTGGAAGCCACTCTCGACGGCCAGTCCAACTCTAACAAATTTCATGTAATCAATTTTGCGATCGGCGATATAGCGCAGTACCAGCATCTCGTTTACAGACTGACTCAGAGCGGGAAGCCGACCATGGTGAAAATTACCGTCGTCGCAGATAATGTTGGGGAGGAGACGTTGAGGCCTGTTGGTGAGTGTTGAGTCGAATTGGAGAGAAGTACCGCGTTCCTTTGAATTTGAAGTTCAACGTCGTGGTGAGTCCAAAACTCTGCGATCTATCTAGCGAATCGCTAGGTTGCGAACCGGACGAGACACGCGCCGTGAATTTCGCATTCAAGTTGTTCCAAATGCCTAACGAGACCGTGTCGATTGAGAATCCCAGAGACGAGCTTCTCCGGCACGTGAAGAGACTGCTGCCGAGGGTAGTCACATTGGTGGAGCAAGAAATGAACACCAACACCGCGCCGTTCGTGGCGCGGGTAGGAGAAGCAACAGCGTACTACGCAGCGCTGCTCGAGTCTATCGACTGGGTCGTGCCGAGGGATCACCCGGAGCGAGCGAAGGTGGAGGAGGTAGTGAGTCTCAAAATCGCGAACTCGGTTGCTTGCGAGGGTAGGGAACGCATTGAGAGATACGAGGTGTTTGGGAAGTGGAGGGCCCGCATGGCCACTGCAGGATTCGACTTGAAGCCACTGAGTCAAAACGTAGCCGAGTCAGTCCGCAACTCCGGCAACCGAGCCCGTCCAGGTTTCACCGTCAAAGAAGAGAACGGAGGAGTTTGTTGTGGGTGGATGGGCCGAAACCCCACCGTGGCATCTGCTTGGCGTTAACTTCACCCTCAAAATATAATAATAATAATTAATTGCTGTATTTGTATTTTTAATCGTTTAAAAAAAATTAGAAATGAAAAAGGATGAGAAGGAAAAGCCCCCAACAACCCAAATAATAAAATGTAGTAGTGCTTGGATGCTAAGAAAATTCAGTGCCACATCTATTATTTTTGCTTGTGCTTTTTTTTTTTTTTTTTTT